GGGGCCCCGTGACAGGGCGCCGCGGGGCCTCCCCCAGGAGTTCTCAGGCCTCTGCGGGGCTCTCTTCATCGCCTTTGGGGTGCTGGGGGCCCTGGCTCTTGGCCTGTACGTGGACCGGACCAAGCACTTCACCGGCGCAGTCAAGGTCGGCCTGTGTCTGACGTCCCTGGTCTGCGTGGCCTTCGCCCTGGTGAGCGCCCCGCCGGGAATGCCCAGGCCGGCGCTGCGGGGAGGCCCTGGGCCGGCTCCGCCCCCGACACGCCCCTCTGCAGGTGTCCCAGCTGCGGGGCCAGACCGCGGCGCTGGCGGCCGTGTGCTCGCTGCTCGGCGCCTTCGGCTTCTCCGTGTTCCCGGTGGCCATGGAGCTGGCCGTGGAGTGCTCCTTCCCGGTGGGGGAGGGCGCGGCCGCCGGCCTGATCTTTGTGCTGGGGTGAGTGTGTGCCCCCTCCTTCGCCCGCCCCGCCCCCCCCACGGGGCTGATGGCCAGGTGGCTGTGCAGGCAGGCCGAGGGCGTCCTCCTCATGCTGCTGCTGACCTCCCTGGCCGTGCGTCGTGAGGAACCGGCCTTTTCCACGTGTCGCGGTGGCCAGGACCCCCTGGACTGGAGCAGTGAGTGCCCCGGGGCGTGAGCCAGGCCCCCCACAGCGCCTCCCTGCCCCGAGGCACTGGCCAGGTCACCCTGGGCGGAGCCGGAGTGGGGTTCGGGCGGCCCAGTCAGCGTGGTGGGCCCCAGAGGGCCCGCCACGCGTCCCCCCGAGGCACGAGGGGCGCAGCCTCCCGGACCAGGCCTGGGGCTGGCGACCACTGCTCGTGGCTGCCACGGCCTGGCCTCCCCTCAGTGGCCATCGGGGCCGGGCCGGGTCTGTTTCTGGGTTCCTCAGCTGTTACGGTGCGTGGAGAGTCAGCTGGGCTTTGGGGGGTCCACGTCCACAGGGCCTGAGGGGGGGAGCCGAGGCCGGCCGCCTGGGCCAGCCTTGGGCCAGCACTGCCCTGTCTCCCCAGCGTCCATGCTGCTGATGGCCGGCCTCTGTACCCTCTTCACCTGCCTCTTGGTTCTCTTCTTCCACACACCATACCGGCGCCTGCAGGCCGAGGCCAACGCCAGCCTGACCGTGCAGGAGCAGTGCCCGGTCTCCACGGACCACACAGCTGGCCAGGAAGCCGCCCCCTGAGCCCTCAACTCCCCAGGACACTGCTCGGGAGATGCAGAGCGGGGGGCTGCTGCCGTGTGTGAGGGGCACGGCCGAGGGCGGGGGGGACCCTGAGCAGGCGTGGACGGGGTCCCTGCTTGAACGGTCCCCCTTGCTGAGCAGAGGCCAGGCCCCCAGCCTGGGTGCTGGGCAGGTGGGAAGCGAGGGGGCTGGCCAGGCGGGAGGGACATGGAGGGAGAGCCCGTACGAAGACCCTCCATCCCCCCAAGATACCGGCGGGCAGGCGCGGGGGCCACTCAGTTGCCCTGGACAGCCAGAGGGGCCATCCGTGGTCCCCAGGAGGGCACCTCGTGCCTGCTCTTCCCGTGGGTGAGGATGCAGCTCCGTGGTCGCAGCCCAGGGCATCAGGAACGGACCCCCGCGGAATGGAAGCCTGGTCAGCCTGTGAGGCCGTTGGGGGGTCAGGCCCAGATGTACGGGGAGGGCCTGAGGGATGTTAGAAAGCGACACTTGAAAAACTGGTATTACGCCAACCGTCCGGACTTGTGACTGCGAGCCCCATCTGGTTCCTGTGTTGGGGGGGCCCAGAGGGCGGGCCAGGCGGCTGACGCTCCGGCCCGGGAGGCAGGCACCTCCCCGCAGCGGCCGCGCCTCTTCCCTCACTCTGTGGGCCTGGGGCGCGCGCAGCTGCTTGCAGCTAAGACAGGAGGGGCCTGAGGGGCGTCCGCTCCCCCCCACCCCTGCCTGCTCCTGGCACAGGTGAAGCCTGGCTGGCGAGGACAGCTGGGCGGCCTGGCGAGAACCCTCAGTGTGGGCCCACCACCCCTCTGACGGGGATGTCCCTGCCCTCTGCAGCACCCCCGACAGTGCGCCCCACTCCTCCCGCAGAGCCCTCTGCAGGCCCTGCTTAGCTACCACGGGCCAGGATGGCGGGGGGTGGGGGGGGCGGCCCAGGGGCCGGCAGCGGGGCGGGCCCTTGGTGATGCTCCAGGCCGTTGGCACCTTGAAGGCCTTAGGTTGGCCCAGGAGCAGCCGTCAGCGTGGGTCTCGGCCCTGGCCCACCCCACACCCCACCGGCCTAAGTTCTTGGTCCCCAGTACCCGCCCCAAAGCCGGGCAGCGCTGTGAGGGAGGAGCCGGCGGGCGGCTCCGGCGGTCAGATCCCAAGCCCCGCACTCCGACGCGTTTCTGGCGTCCCGAGTTCAGGCAATGGCCGCACACGCCGGGCCCTGGGCCCCCGAGGTGCTCTGCACCGCGACCCACCAGCCTCTGCTCCGGCAGCTTCGGGCATGGAGGGCGCCGGGGCCCCTTGACTTGGCGCCGGCTGGTCCTCCCTGGCGGCTCGCCTGCGTGGAGGCTGCGCCGGCCCCAGCCACGGCCGTGGCGCTCTGCGCCTCCCTCTCCAGGGACCCCCAGCACAGTCGGGGAGGCGGGAAGGGGCAGACGGGGGGCGCCTGCCCAGGTGGGGTGGGGTGCTGGGGGGTGTATCTGCAGGACCCCAACCTCGAGCCCTGGGGAGACAAGCGGAGGGGCAGCCGGAGGCGGGTGTGGGGGCTGGCGCCCTGCTCCCCGCGGGGCGGGGCGCGTCCCAGGGCAGCCACGCCCCACCCCTGCCTGGCCACTCTGCGGCCCCAGTGCTGGGGTGGCCGACGCCGGTGGCCGCGAAGGGTGTGACCTGGGTCCTCCTTGTCCGCGATGCCGTCGCAGTTCTGGTCCAGGAGGCCGAACACCTGGAAGGAGGCAGGGTCAGCGCCTGCTGCCCGCCTGCAGCCCAGCCACTGGCTCGCCGGGGGACGGGCCCACGCCGGGGCAGCCTCATCTCGGATCCCGGGCCGGGGCTGCGCTGCTCGAAGTCGGACCGGACGTTGCAGGAGCCCTCTGGGGGGCCCCTTCTTGGTCTTCCTGCTGGCCTGAGAGGGACTTGACTGGGCAGCTGTCCCTGCAGGGCGCACACAAAGCAGGACCCGGCCCGGGACTGGGCAGCGCTCCCACTCCGCAGCACGTGCCCACTTGTGGACACAAACTGCTGGGCGCGCACACTCACGCCCGCTGCCCGCCCGCCTGCTCATCGTGCCCAGGTGAGCCCGTGAGGTGGCCCTGCCCTCCCCACCAGGCCTCTTGTCTCAGTGCCCGCCCGGTCCCCTGGGGCGGCTGGACACTGGCGGCCACTGCCTCTAAGGACGGCTGTGGCCCCTGGGAACCAGACAGCTGCAGGTGGAGCCTGGGTGCTGGCCGGACTCCGAAGGTCAGCCGAGCCCCGCCCCCCGCGTGCCCGGGGCGCCCTGCTGCCGGCCCGGCCCCCGCGCTCCTGCTCTGCCCTGTGCCTGGGAGTCAGGACAGTCCGCAGGACTGCCACCTGGGCCCTGGCCACCCGCCTCTCCCCAAGGCAAGGTGCTCCTGCCGGGCCACACGGGGCAGCGGAGTGAATTCCTGACTGGAGGGTGATCCAGGCAGCCTGTGGGGGCCAGAACGTTGGCGGGGTAGGGCCTGGCCAGGCCCCTGCGGGCAGTGCCAGGCCCCGCACCAGTCAGGGCCAGCGTGCCGGCCCGGGAAGGAAGGCAGGTGCAGATGAGCCGTCCGCAGGCCAACAGAAGGCGGCCAGGGGTAGCAGGGCCAGGGAGGACAGGGCCTGGGGGCATCCCCGAGACCCTCAGTACCCCGTGGCATGTTTGAACCCAGTCCACCACAGGTGGGAGCAGCGGTGTCCTGCCCCCGGCAAGCAGCCTGGATGGGGGTGACCCGTTGAGACCCCAGGGCCAGGTGGCCGTTGGCCGGCTGCCAGCGAGTGTGGGGGATCAGACCTCTTGTAACTGGGTGGTCCCTAGGAGAAGGGAAGTTCCAGGTTCCCTGCCCCACCCAGAA